GAAGTCTTTTTTAACACTGCTGTTCTGGCAAGTGAGTTGATTTTGGCTTGGAAATAAGTATGAAAGAAATTATTTAATATCTTTACAACATTTACCGTTTATTCATTTGTGTCATTCAGACTTATTTCCGAGTCAAAACTGAACTGAAAGTCATCGGACGTATGTCCGATCCAAACTCAACGTCACCGGACATTTTGTCAGACGGCCTTGGAAAAGATATTTTAAGGCCTGGCTTGTTCCAAACGAACAGACTTGCTACGAGATGTGAGATTTTTGCGTGCGTAATGTTGATTGTTTTTATATCCAATACGAATAAGCTTATACTGCAATTCTGCAAACCGTAGGTAATTCTGAACATATATATTTCTCTGTTTAGGCCAACGGTATCAAGTTAGGACCACAACATTCACCATCAAACCCCTCGATGCCCATGGGAGGTGGTCGATCGAATGACGGAGGGGGGTGTTGTTAATTCACATTCTCTTTTTGAACTGTGGGTAGATTTCCACCATATCTCAAAAAAACAATATACATAAATTCTACATACACAATTTATCATGGTCAGATCTAACTGCCATTGTGGTATTGCCTATATGTTGTAGAATTCATTTAAAACTAAAACTTACTCTCGGTACTTAAACCTCTCTATTTAGGAAAAAAATACTAAGGTATTCTTGGGTTGCTGCTTGCATAAAAAATATTTATTGAATCTTTTTGGACCACCAAAAAATGAAAAATCATATATGAATATATCCCAAATTAAGAACTTCATTTCGGCATCGTTTATTTTCTCGCATTGTGAGGCCCGTTTCCATTCAGGAAAATTTTCCGCAGAAAGAAAATTTTGTAAAATGTGATTGGCCGACATAAATTTTCCGTCGGAAAAAAATTTTGAAGTTGAAAATTTTCAACTTTTAACAATGATATTTTCGGAAAATTTTCTGCCCGTGGAAATGTTTCTTGAGCGGAAATGGGCCGTTACAGGAGGTTTAGATAAATTTTATACGGTAGCACATGAAATATGTCGTACTACAAAGGTATTAGAGACCTTACGATTTAGGACGGCAACGCCACCAATACAATAGATCATTGAAAAGAATTGAATAATTACAATATATGAATAATTTAGACATTGTCCTCGCTCTGTTTACAACGCCAAATCACAGATTTTCACGTCTTCATACAACGGCTGCATTTCAAGCCACAACAAGTGCAACTTCAAACTGGGTTCAGCAGAACTCTTCCCAAACATAAAACCCATGTCTTCAACTTCCCTAAGACTGTATTAAATTCATACGATTGATAATATACGACGATTTATCTTTACTACCATTTATTTGAAGGAGTTTGTCTTGGCCGTTGTCGTCGCGTTGCCGTCCTAAAATCGGACTAAGGTCTCTATTGAGTAAATTAGATGTAAACTCATGCGAAGGGTCAGATACACGTACGATTTGTCGGGCCTGTATTCAATACATTTGATGATACAGTTCAACACCTACATATATTATATATAGCCGAACAGCTTGTATATTAGTTTTGTATTAGGCCTGTATATCAGTATAACACAAGACTAGGAGTCGACCCGACAAATCGTTATGTGTAATTGTAGCTTAAATAATGACATTAACATAAATATTCCAAATGAAATTGAAGTATTTTAAGATATACTATACGGACTGTTTATCTGATGTTTTCTTTAATTTGAAATTATAATAATTTTCAAACCAAGGCGTTGTTATTCATGACTCAATTAATTAATAGAATTTGTCATTGACGGAAATACAACCAAAATTTGGCAATCTTACTAGCTTGCTGTTCCAGGCTTGATGACGGTAACAGACTTGCTACAAGTTGTTCCAACAAGACTAGTACAGGCTGTTCGTAACAAGTTGCTACGAGCTTGTTGTCATCAACTTGTTAACAACTTGTTACGTGCAGACGATATCAGACTTGTTGGAACAACTTGTTGCGAGTTTGTTGGCCTCATCAACCTTGTTACACGATGATAACAATTTGTTCCAGAATGTACACGCAAAAAACGCATAAGTTGTTACAGGTCTGCAAACAAGTTGTTACAAATCTGTTCACAAGCTGTCGACAAGTTGTGTTCGCACTGCTTGTTCCCAGTTGTTGTAACAAGTTTGGTGGCACAAGCTGTTAACAACTTGTAACAAGCTTGATGGCATTATCAGACTTGTTACAAGGTTGTTCTAACGAGTCTGATACAGTCATGATATAACAAGAATGTTACAAGGTTCACAACACAAGGTTGTAAACTTGTAACAATATTGTTATATCATGACTGTATCGGACTTGTTGGAACAACCTTACAACAAGCCTCTTTGTTAACAACTTGTTCCAAACTAGACACGCAAAAATCTCACATCTTGTAACAAGTTTGGAGCAAGCTGTTAACAATTTATAACAACTTTGTCGATATTATCAGACTTGTTACAAGGTTGTTCTAACAGGTTTGATACAGTCATGATATAACAATATTATTGTTACAACCTTGCGTCGTCAACCTTGTAACATTCTTGTTATATCATGACTGTATCAGACTTGTTACAACAACCTTGTCACAAGTCTGATAATGTCATCAAGCTTGTCAAAAGTTGTTAACAGCTTGTTCCAAACTTGTTTTAAAAAACAACTGGGAACAAGCAGTGCGAACACAACTCGTCGACAGCTTGTGAATAGATTTGTAACAACTTGTTTGCAGACTTGTAACAACTTGCCGTTTTTACGTATGTAGTTGACAACTAGTGCGAACACAACTTGTTGACAGATGTGAGATTTTTGCGTGTGTACCGAGTGACTATTGTTTTGTTTTCACACGTAAAAATCTCACAACATGTCGACAAGACGTTTTCGCAACAACCTTGTAGCAAGTTGTGACAATACTGTTCCAACAACTTGTCAACAAGATATTTCCTCAACGGGCTTGTAGCAAGCTTGTTAACAAGTTGTGACAATGCTGTTCCAACAACTTGTCAAAAAGATGTCTGCTCAACGGGCTTGTAGCAAGCTTGTTAACAAGTTGTGACAATGCTGTCTCAACAACTTGTCAAAAAGATGTCTACTCAACAGGCTTGTAGCAAGCTTGTTAACAAGTTGTGACAATGCTGTTCCAACAACTTGTCAAAAAGATGTCTGCTCAAAGAGGCTTGTAGCAAGCGTGTTAACAAGTTGTGACAATGCTGTTCCAACAACTTGTCAAAAAGATGTCTACTCAACAGGCTTGTAGCAAGCTTGTTAACAAGTTGTGACAATACTGTTCCAACAACTTGTCAAAACGATGTCTGCTCAACAGGCTTGTAGCAAGCGTGTTAACAAGTTGTGACAATGTTGTCCCAACAACTTGTCAAAAAGATGTCTACTCAACAGGCTTGTAGCAAGCTTGTTAACAAGTTGTGACAATGCTGTTCCAACAACTTGTCAAAAAGATGTCTACTCAACAGGCTTGTAGCAAGCTTGTTAACCAGTTGTGACAATGCTGTTCCAACAACTTGTCAAAAAGATGTCTGCTCAACAGGCTTGTAGCAAGCGTGTTAACAAGTTGTGACAATACTGTTCCAACAACTTGTCAAAAAGATGTCTACTCAACAGGCTTGTAGCAAGCTTGTTAACAAGTTGTGACAATGCTGTTCCAACAACTTGTCAAAAAGATGTCTACTCAACAGGCTTGTAGCAATCTTGTTAACAAGTTGTGACAGTGCTGTTCCAACAACTTGTCAACAAGATATCTCCTCAACAGACTTGTTGCAAGCTTGTTAACAAGTTGTGACAATGCTGTTCCAACAACAACTTGTCAACAATATAATATATCACCTCAACAGGCTTGTAGCAAGCTTGTTAACAAGTTGTGACAATGCTGTTCCAACAACTTGTCCACAAGATATCTCCTCAACAGGCTTGTAGAAAGCTTGTTAACCAGCTGTGACAATGCCGTTCCAACAACTTGTCAACAAGATGACTCCTCAACAGGCTTGTAGCAAGCTTGTTTAATAACAAGTTGTGACAATGCCGTTCCAACAACTTGTCAACGAGATATCTCCTCAACAGGCTTGTAGCAAGTGTGCTAACAAGTTGTGACGATGCTGTTCCAATAATTTGTCAACAAGATATCTCCTCAACAGGCTACACAAGTAAAAAGGCACAAGTTGTAACAAGTCTGCAAACAAGTTGTTACAAGTCTGTTCAGAAGTTGTCAACAAGTTGTGTTCGCACTGCTTGTTCCCAGTTTGTTGTAACAAGATTGAAACAAGCTGTTAACAACTTGTAACAAGCTTGATGGCATTATCAGCTTTGTTACAAGACTGTGCTAACAAGTTTGTTACAGCCATGATATAACAAGGATGTTACAAGGTTGTCAACACGAGGCTGTAACAATCTTGTTATATCAAGCATGTAACGGACCTGTCAGAACAACCTTGCAACAGGTCTGATAATTTCGAGAAGGTTGTTACAAGTTGTTCCAAACCTGTTGACAACTTGTGACAAGCAGTGCGAATACATCTTGTTGACGGCTTGTTGGCAGACTTGTTACAAGATGTGAGATTTTTACGTGTGTAGTAGCAAGCTTGTTAACAAGATATCTCCTCAACAGGCTTGTAGCAAACTTGTTTAACCAGTCAGTGACAATTAATGCTGTTCCAACGACTTGTCAACAAGATATCTCCTCAACGGGCTAGTAGCAAGCTTGTTAACAAGTTGTGACAACAATGCTGTTCCAGCAACTTGTCCACAAGATTTCTTCTCAACGGGCTTGTAGCAAGCTTGTTAACCAGTTGTGACAATGCTGTTCCAACAACTTGTCAACCAGATCTATGTCTCCTCAACAGGCTTGTAGCAAGCTTGTTAACAAGTTGTGACAATGCTATTCCAACAACTTGTCAACAAGATATCTCCCCAACAGACTTGTTGCAAGCTTGTTAACAAGTTGTGACAATGCTGTTCCAACAACTTGTCCACAAGATATCTCCTCAACGGGCTTGTAGCAAGCTTGTTAACCAGTTGTGACGATGCTATTCCAACAACTTGTCAACAAGATATTTCCTCAACAAGTTTTTATCAAGCTTGTTAACAAGTTGTGACAATGCTGTTCCAACAACTTGTCAACAAGATGTTTCCTCAACAGACTTGTAGCAAGCTTGTTAACAAGTTAAGAGAATGCTGTTTCAAAAACTTGTCAACAAGATATCTCCTCAACAGGTTTGTAGCAAGCTTGTTAACCAGTTGTGACAATGCCGTTCCAACAACTTGTCAACAAGATGACTCCTCAACAGGCTTGTAGCAAGCTTGTCAACAAGCTGGGAACAAGCAGTGCGAACACATCCTGTTGACAAGTTGTTGGAACAGCATTGCTACAAGTCTGCTTCAGCTTTGTTACAACTTGTTACAGCTGTTGATGCATTAGCCTGCGTCACAGACGCTCGTGGCGGAAATGGGGGCGCTAAGTAGTCTGTGTTTAGCACTTATCACATTACACACAGACTATGTCGTAGTCTATTGATGCATAAATTCTTTTGTGAATTATTTTGTTGAAATGCTAACGGCAAAAACCCGCCGACATACTGCAACATTTATTATTTTATACAATTAAAGCGCATTGGAGCACATCGCGGCTTTAATAGTGGCAATCTAGTACTACGCATATTATGGTAATTTTAACAATGCGCCCGCGCGTATTGCTGCCAAGGCTACTTATACTTCATGTAAATTTTAGTTTGGTCAACTCGTGGTCCGAAAGTTTTAAAATTTTAAAAGTTGGTTCTGTGAGATAAAAAGTTTATATTTGAAGAAGATAAAAGACATAAAATGTTAAGTGTTAGTTTAGCACTTACTGCAGGGTTCTGTGCGGCAATTGCCTCACTTTGTGCAAAGCTCGCTTTCTCCCCTGAAATCGTGTTTAAGGATGTGTGCGAGTCGGTTGATTTTTGGATAGTAGAATGCTCTGGCCACTGTGATAAGGTAAGTATTAAAGTAATGAGTTTTGTTCGTGCTTCTATATATTGTTGAACCTATTAAAGGCGTTTGTTAGCAATGATAGGCTAGAAAACATGTCAAAATATGGCTGTTTATCATATGTATGATATCAATTACTTCAAAAGTTAACCATCCCCCCCCCCCCCGGGCCCTGACATGGCAAGGGAATTTGAAGTACACACGGAAAAGTCTCGCATCTTGTAGCAAGTCTGCCAACAAGCCGTCAATAAGTTGTGTTCACACTGCTTGTCCCAAGTTATCAACAAGGATTTGTTGATATTATCAGACTGTTGCAAGGTTGTTCCAACAAGTCCGATACAGTCATGATGTAACAATATTATTTATAACCTTAAAGACTATGTCAGGAAGTCCGTAATGTAAACAAATCCTTTGTTTACATTTTGAACTGATATATTTGTAAAATAAGACTATACCAACTTAATATGGAACACTTTTCTGGTTCGCAATTGTAAATGAATATAAACTAGAGTACGTTTCAATTCAATAAAGTTTGAAAGATGCAAAATTTTTTGCAATGTGTATATCTGTGGGTTCCTCTTTGTTATGAGCAGAACTGATGCGCAGAACGGAGTGGACATGGTCTTTAACTTAAACTTGGTCAAATTACTGCCAGATTACCTCAAACTGTATTTTCGAGACGTGGATCGGCAAACCTCAAAATGTCAGAACAAATCAGTAGAATAATATAGTATATACAAACTTCAACAAGTTGTGTTGATCATTACTGATCTAGTTGATAGGTACTGTAAGTGTTTAACTTAGTTTGTGATGAATAATAAAACCACTAAATCTTATTAATTATTAACATAATAACAAAATCCAACACAGACCTTGTTAACTCGAACCTCCACAATTTTTCGCTTCCCTTAGGAGTTTGAGTTAGCAGGAGGTCTATTGTATTGAAAATTTTCTAGTTCAAATATTCTGTATTTAGCTAATTTTGTTCTTAATTAAATTTCAGATAATTTTGCTGTCGAGAATTATCTTATTTGTTTTGACATTTCTGTGTAATGGTTTAATGTGGACGTTATTTGTGAAGTCAATGCGGAATTCATCATCTGCTCAAGCTCTGATCACTAACAGTGCATCGAATTTTATATCCAGCGTGAGTAAAGTCTCTGATTTGTTAGCAAATTGGTGACCTTACCTTACGATCACCAGCAAAGGGGCAGCGCTAACTAGGAATTAAAAAAGAATTTTCTTCCTGGGAGCACAACATGACAAAAATTTCCTGTAGACCAACGGAGTATTTTAATTTGTGCTAAATCTGCATGTGCATAAACAAATAGTGTTCTAGCTGATCATGGTTTTAAATTCAAGGAATAATGTTTGTCAACCATATGTTGTTGTGCCCATAGTGGGACATGGGTGTTAAGATTTCCTTCAAATTTTCAATAACAAATCTTCATTCAAACAAATTTCCTGCAGCTGTTTAACATTTCCTGCGAGCAGTGCTCGCCTATTTTTTCCACTCCTGACCAGCAATCCTCTGCAATCTTTCAAATTATATGTCCACTCCCCACCCCGTCACACATTCAAGCATGACTCCCCCTGCAATCTCTAGAAGGCACAAGTTGTTACAGGTCTGCAAACAAGTTGTTACAAATCTGTTCACAAGCTGTCGACAAGTTGTGTTCGCACTGCTTGTTCCCAGTTGTTGTAACAAGTTTGGAACAAGCTGTTAACAACTTGTAACGACCTTGATGGCTTTATCAGACTTGTTACAAGGTTGTTCTAACAAGTCTGATACAGTCATGATATAACAAGAATGTTACAAGGTTGTATTTAAAGACCTTTAAACATATCATGACTGCATCAGACTTGTTGGAACAACCTTGCAACAAGTCTGATAATATCAACAAGGTTGTTACAAGTTGTTAACAGCTTGTTCCAAACTTGTTGACAACTTGGGACAAGCAGTGCGAACACAACTTGTTGATGGCTTGTTGGCAGACTTGCTACAAGATGTGAGATTTTTGTGTGTGTACGCATGTAAAAAGGCAAAAGTTGCAACAAGTCTGCAAACAAGTTGTTACAAATCTGTTCACAAGCTGTCAACAAGTTGTGTTCGCACTGCTTGTTCCCAGTTGTTGTAACAAGTTTGAAACAAGCTGTTAACAACTTGTAACAAGCTTGATGGCATTATCAGACTTGTTACAAGATTGTGCTAACAAGTTTGTTACAGCCATGATATAACAAGGATGTTACAAGGTTGTCAACTCAAGGTTGTAACAATCTTGTTATATCAAGCATGTCACAGACTTGTCAGAACAACCTTGCAACAAGTCTGATAATTTTGACAAGGTTGTTACAAGTTGTCAACAAGTTGTTCCAAACCTGTTGACAAACTTGTTACAAAATGAGAGATGTTTGTGTGTGTACCTGGAAAATATCATCATGTAGCAAGTCTGCCAACAAGCTGTCAACAAGTTGTGTTCGCACTGCTAGTCCCAAGTTGTCAACAAGTTTGAAACAAGCTGTTAACAACTTGTAACAAGCTTGATGATATTATCAGACTTGTTGCAAGGTCATAATGTAACAAATCCGATACAGTTATGATATAGCAATATTGTTACAACCTTGTGTCATCAACCTTGTAACATTCTTGTTATGACTGTATCAAACTTGTTAGAACAACCTTGTGACAAGTCTGATAATGCCATCAAGCTTGTTACAAGTTGTTAACAGCTTGTTCCAAACTTGTTACAACAACTGGGAACAAGCAGTGCTAACACAACTTGTTGACAGCTCGTGTCAACAGTTTGTAACAACTTGTTTGCAGATCCAAATATTTTGAGAATTAAGCAAGATACATATAGACAAATGGACCTTTCCCCTTATAACTAAAATTTCGATCTAGACAAAAATTTCATCACAGCTTGAAAGAACATCACAAAATTAGTAATATTCCAACGTTTTGTTGCAAAATCTTGTAAAATGCGGATGATATAGCCTTGCGAAGTTTGTCGTTTTTCAGTCATTTTGTATTACAAACGGGAAATTGGCATCCGATTCGGGTGTTGGGGCTGCAATTTCCCGTTTGTAATGCAAAACGACTGAAAATTGCAAACTTTGCAAGGCCCTATTTCCCTCATTTTACAACATTTCGCAACGAAACTTTGGAATATTACTAATTTTGTGATGCTCTTTCAAGCTGTGATGAAATTTTTGTCTAGACTTGCCTAGATCAAAATTTTGGTTATAAGGGGAAAGGTCTATTGGTAATGAAGTTTAATATATCATTTTAAGAGTTCTCTTGAATGAGACAAAATAAGTTTTTATTCACCAATGTGATTTAAACATCAAAATAATGAGTTGTGTATTCCGTTGTGTTCCAGGCGTTATTTGGTAAATTTTTCTTTGGTGAAATCTTATCGATGCAGTGGTGGTTGGGAGCATCGTTGATCATATTGGGACTATATATAATCAATAAAAACAAAATTGCTGATGATGTAACAGTAACAGGACATAAGAAAGATTGTTGACACTGGATTTTACAGGTATGAATATTAGTATTATAAAATCAATGTGTTTCAGGAATAATGATGACCAAATGAGATTTGGTAAAATGTTTTACTTTATTGTTAAAATTTCATCAATTTTAAGGCCATATATTCGGAAACTTTGCATTAAAGTCGTAAGTGTACAGCTTATATTTTAGAGAGGTCATAAGTAAATGGATTTAGAACTTCACATTCTGTGTACAGTTTCCACAACGAGTGCAAAAGTGCAAAGTATCCTTCAAAAATACTTGAAGTACAAAGTAAAAGTACTATTGTCTGTAGCGTGTAGGGGGGGGGGGGGGGGGGGCTTCTCCAATGGATTGACATACAAAAGACACAAAACAGCACCGAATATACAATATTTCACAGCATGATCTACTTTCCAGACCCCGTTGAAGATATAAGAAATCTATTAAATAAATAATGCTTATAAGTAAGCCATAAACGCGGGATCCCAGACGTATGTAGAGGTCGTATTACCAATCCCAAAATTAAAATTAATCCGAAATAAATCACGTAAAATTAAACAAAAGTTAGAAAGTAACGAAATACTTCGCCACAATTAAAATGAAAAGAACGAAGTAAAACGTTACTTCTTAAAACGACTTCGTTCCAAGTAAAAGTACTCCAGAAAAAGTTTACTTTGTTACACGCTGATTCAAAAATTGTACTTAATTGACACCACTGATCGACATGCCCGTCATTTGGATGAAGAAAAAAATAAATCGACCCGTTCCAGTACTGGTGACTTTCTGCGTCCAAATCTATCCAGGTAATCTCGTGTTCGTATTTTAGCCAATCAGCGCTCAGAAAGGGTTGTCCGAATAGAAATCCATTTTGATGTATTCAGTCAATTATATCTTTCGTTATTCTTTATGAAACTAGTTGAAATTTTGTAATTATGTTTGGTTATGAGAACTATAGCTCTGACAAAAATATGGAATCGAAATAAAGTATATTACAGGAGATATTCAGTTGTTTTAATCATAAAATGGATTTCTATTTGACAACTAGTGCCAGTACTTTTCCGCGTATCAAGATCATCTGGATGTAGAACAACTCTTTTCAGGAACTCGTACTTCAATAGAATTGTGTATCTATGGAACAGCTTGCCTAGTGATATTAAATCTTCTTCTGTATACATCCTTAAAGCTAAACTATATGAATATTACTTTAATAAACCGATTACAGTATCTGATGCAGATATAGGTGTAGAACTTGGAAAACACTATGCAGTAATTGTTGATCACTGCAAATAAACTGCTGCTCGTAATACCTACTATGCTCGTAGCATGATCGATGGGTTAATCTGTTATATGCTTAATATGCTCAGTTTTCGTTACAACTCTCGATACATTTTTTTTCCATATAAATTAGCCACAGACTGAGTTGGAATAGATTAACCATTCGAGCATTCTTCAATCGAGATTAATTTTTACTGTTGTAAATAGTTTTTTACGTACGTCTGTATTTGTGTTGTCCTGGTGGGACTTAATTGGGAACTTCTGTTCCGTTGTCCTGACCTTCGATCTTATTGATTGTCAAGTTATTAAAAAAAGTCACGTGATTGCAAACAAAGAATATATACTAGGGTGATGCCAAAATGAGGCGCATGTGTAAATATCAATATTTGGACATCGTACGCGATAGAGGGTTTTGTAAATGTAAATTTTGTGACGTGTAAATTATATATAACCAGTGTGTTATTTAAGGTGTGTTATTTATATAACCTTGGGTCGCATGTGTAAATATCAATATTTGGTCATCTTGTATACGCGACAGAAGGTATTGTAAATGTAAATTTTGTGACGTGTAAATTATATATAACCTGTGTTATTTAAGGTGTGTTATTTATATAACCTTGGGTCGCATGTGTTACAATATCAATATCTGGGCATCTTATGCACTAGTCAATTGAAACCCCGACCCCCGAGACAGGGCGGGGAATTAACGGGGGAATGGCCGTGGATTAACGCGATCTTAATGCACCATTTCCCTTGGGGTATGCAGGGTAAATAACAAGTCAATTTATTAGCCGGGACTTTAACGCGCGGCTGAGTTTATCCTCGCGGCAACATGGCGGAATCTTCGAAATCAGAGAATTGTTTCCTCATAGTTTTTCTTCAAAAAAGGGAATATATTTTCACTTTTTATATATTCCTGATGATGACTGCAAGATACGATCGAAACGTAGATTATTCCGGTATCTTTTGATGCGGATCAAAGTTTAAGATCAAGAATTGCCTTCACATGTTGTGAACATTTTAGTTTTACACTTCAACGATTCCCCATTTCCCAAGTCATGAAAATTTGCAAAGTGCCGGGGCCATAGGGGCGGTAACTTTAACAGTCAATATTCTCCCGGTAGCGGGGAAATTACCAAAATTTAACATTGTCAAAATGTTAATTTCCCCGCCCTATCCCGGGGGTCGGGGGGCCGGGGTTTCAATTGACTATAGTGCATTACTCGATAGAGGATATTGCAGATGTAAATATTGTGACGTGTCAATTATATAAAACCTGTGTTATTTCTATACCTTGCTTGAAGGTCATCGAGGATTGGTTGCAGGTCTTTGTTCACAACATCATGCAAATATCCATGTTCATTAACGTCACTTTAATATTCTTTGTTTTTCAAACCAACGAAAACGTTTTTAATTAGCATTTACAGTAACCATACTTCCAAGTGTCGCTTCCGTGCGGCGAATTTAATGAGTACCCACATTTAAAAGCACTTCCAAATTGTATAATTGCCCGCTAAAGAACATTATACAAGATCGTTGAATAATTTATTGCGCACTAATGACGTCTTTAATTGTCATGACTTCTGGTCCTCATTTGTTTTGCTGTTCCATTAAATATTAATAGTTATAAAAGCATAATTAGCTTGTTTAATTAGAGCACTGTTTTGACGACCTGTAAAATGCATTTTTTCCTTGTATAATATGTTGTTTTCGTATATAATGATCAAAGAGAGGGCCGGGTCAAATTACGTTGAGGCGTTTTTTGCTAGCTAAATTGTACACTGCTGCGATCGCTGTTTTTTGGCTGGGGCTCCTGTCTTTGAGTAAGGTATGTTTAGTAATTTTGTTTCAAACAGATATATTGCGCATTTGATTAATTAAACGAAGCATTAAGACACATTTAAGCGCGTTTAATATGCCGTTGAAAAAATGCTATATGTGCCATGAACGTCTGCAAACGGGGTTTGAGTTCCTGTTATGTGCAGTTGTCTATTTGTAATTTTAGGACAGTTTAGAACTGATGGAGCTATCCAGTATAAATAAAAATTAAAGTTAGTTTAGTATAGGTTTCCTCCTGTAGTAACACTGGATCAACAAGAGGTGATCCTTACTGGACCTCTAGAAAGAACAGTTTAGAACTGATAGAGCTATCCAGTATAAATAAAGTTAGTTTAGTTTAGGTTTCCTCCTGTAGTAACACTGGATCAATAAGAGATGATCCTTACTGGACCTCCAGGAAGAACTGTTTGGAACTGTTAGATCTATCCAGTGTAAATATAGGTAGTTTAGTTTAGGTTTCCTCCTGCAATAACACTGGATCAATAAGAGATGATCCTTACTGGACCTCTAGGGAGAGCAGTTTATAGAACTGATAGAGGTATCCAGTATAAATACAGTTAGTTTAGTTTAGGTTTCCTCCTGTAGTAACACTGGATCAATAAGAGATGATCCTTACTGTACCTCTGGGAAGAACAGTTTAGAACAGATAGAGATATCCTTTATTAACATGATTAACATAAAACGCTATACAAATGAACTTAGTTTAAGTAGAAGCACCTGGCTATAATGATTTAGACTTGAGGATATTTACGCCTTACGGAAGCCCGTTTCCCATACGAGCATGTTATCTTAAGCAACCACACTTGCAATGACATCTAGTGATAACATCGGATATCCGTAATTCCCGCACCCGCCCTTGATTCGGGGGGAGAATTGTCCTGACAGTTTATTGAGTATCTCACGCAGAAGACGTATTGTTCCAAATCTCGTTCAGCCTGCAAGATCAACTTGTTGCTCTTAAAGATTATAATTTGATGGAATTTTCATGTTCATATTTGTTCAAATATTTCCGTGAGTTAATGTGTTTGTTGTCTTTCTTGGATTGCTCTTATTTCTTAATATGTGATTCTTGTCCTGTTGATGATGTATCATCTTAAATTTATTATCTATTTGTATGTTCATGTATGAAAGGTTGTAAAATAGATATGGATGTGATGTAGATTAAAAAGTGATGCACCTATATGGAAATTCACATGCAGATATTTCGGTAACCGATAATGAAGGACCGATATTTTGCCCGATACCGATATTCCATGTCATTTCACAAAATTCAAAGATGACATCATGACAGTTCTAATTTAATACTTTCGAATTTAATTCAATGCATTTGTTTCTAAATACTGAAAATATCAAATGAAATGCTGCAAATGCACGCACCAAACTAGTATATTACTATACGCCAGTGACTAATTATCACTTATTTACTGAGACCGAGGGAAACAGTGTGTTTTGTGGACCAGAGACCGTCGATGTTTCCCGAGGCGAAGCCGAGGGAAACATCGACGGTCGAGGGTCCACAAAACACACTGCTTTCCCGAGGTCTCAGTAAATAAGTGTTTTATTATATATCAATAGTCAAAAAAAACAACAAATTAAAGAACAAATGAACGTAAATACATGAAATATTTTATTGTTGAAACGTTATATTAAACACTGGCTACACTGCAGTTACTTAAAGCGAAAGTTTTAATTACGTACTAGGCATGTCCAAAGGTCGCATCTTCACGTGATGGCGCACGTGATTTTTTTTTGTTATTCGCCGGTCGATAGCGTATTATCTGCCTCTCGCGCTGTTACGAGGGAGACAGCCTAATTTCGTCACTCTCACGTGATATGCTCTCAACCAATAAAACACTAGAAAAATGTGACTTTGACTATTGATATATAATAATAGTATTT